CGGCGACCGGAGCCGTGGGCTGCTGCGGACCCTGCATCCCACTCACCTCAGTAACACACTTTCTTTTCTATTCCAGTTGTGGAATAGCAGTTTTAAATAAGGTAAGCAAAACACAGGTAATAACTCGCCTTCAACTCCTGCAAGTGAAATCAGTTCCTAAAGCTTCTGACCGGGACACACACTGGCGATAAATTTCTAAATTTTCAAAAATGATGACACTGTTGCTATAGGAGAGAAAGGCACGTCTGCCCCCCAGACACCTACTGCTCTCACCCAGTGCCTGCCCTGATGTGCTACACCACATGGCAAAGATGCCCTGACTCCAACGCTGCAAGTTGCTGCAGAAAACATTTGCACTTCCCTGGAAAACCCCAGCAAAAGCAGCCCCGTGGGCTCCCCTCCTCCGCCCAGCCTCAGCCCTTAACTGCAGTTTTCTTGCAAAATATTTGGGGTTTGTAGCCAGTTCACAGAATGTTTATAAACTGGAACAATCCTATCGTTTGTAAACATTTGCCCTTTCCCTTTCAGGAAATGGTGCAGCTGTCCAACTACCTCAAGGTAGGTACGGAATATTGCACGTACCCACCTGGGAAGCCGGTCTGCAGTGAGCACACCACTGCTTGTAGAATTGCAATTATTGTTAAATAAAGAGGTGTTACACACCCCATGCTAACGTGGCCAGGAAAGCCCACAGACAGGCCACTGAACCCAGAGACCCGTCCGAAACCCCCCAAGCAGAGGAAGCCCCGAACTGGAGGGGGCAGCCGGGCTGTCCCCGCTGGCACGGGGGGGGTCCCCATCAGCACAGGGACCCCGCTGACCCGCTCTCCCCTTCCCCACAGGAGGCCCTGCACCGCGAGCTGCTGCTCAAGCAGAAGATGGTGATTCTGCAGGAGCTTTTCTCCACGCTGCTGCAAGCGTCGGAAAAATCCTGGCAGGTACCAGAGCTGCACGAGGCGATGCCTGCTGGGGCTGGAGGAGGTTCTGCCCCACGGGTCTCCCTTCCTTCCTGGGAGCTAAGCTCTAGCTCTGCCCAGTTTCGGTGCTTTACAGCCTTGGAGGTGTTACAGGTTTAAAATGTGTCGCCGAGCAGACAAGACATGGTGCAGAATGGTTCAGCTGCAAGTAGCTGCTTGCCCTGCCTCTTGCCTCGCTGTCACCTTTCATTTTAGGGAGGCTTGAACACAAACTCAGAAATCAGGAGGCTACTTTGCTTGAAGTTTTACCCTTTTGCCCCTAAAAGATCGTTAAAGAACACACTTTGCTTTCAGATCAACAGATAGCATAAAACTCCCTTCTTCTGTAAGGTGTTGGGGTTTTTTTATACTTGCCTTTTCCTGCTTTTTCTTAAAGAAAAAGCAAACAGAACTGTGTAAGTGGGGAAAAAATTGGAACGAAGGCAAACAATCACCTTCCACCAAATTTTCTTTCCCAGTCAAAACAAGTTTCAAACATTCTGAACCAATTTCTGGGGTTTTTTTTGGCCAAATTAAAATTTCAGATGCACCAAACTGGTGATCCTAGTGCTGGCAAACATCATGTTCGATGGGGAGAAAGACAATTTTGTATTCTGAAAACACGATGGCTAAAAACCCACACCCAGCGCCAGCAGCCTTCCTGCCACGCACCCAGCCCGCTCCTCGCGGGGACATCCCCTCCCAGGGGTGTACTCTGGACCCCAAACGCAGGGCAGGGGTCCCGCACCACGATTCTCTGGCACTCCTGCTTCGCCTCCCATGCTCTGCAGAACCATGGCCCCGCATCGAGCTATTGCCCCACAGCTCAAACAAAATCCTTTGGGTAGCACTGAAAAACCAGGGACCCTTTTTTTTTTTTGCTTTCAGGAGGTAAAATTAAGGTGATGCATTTTATGTAACATATGAAGTGTTTTATATAGGATTATTAAATCAAATACTAATTTACAGCTCTTTGTGCCATTAAAAAAAGTGGTTTGAAAGTTCTGTTGGGCAGAAAAGAGAGCGATTGGGTGAGATGGCATCAAAAACTTGCGTTAGATGTTCTGTGGTTAGAAACTTCCGCCTTCCCTTGCTGCTTCAAATATAACATGGGCAGGAAAAAACACCCTGACACGCTCTGCAGTGAGTAGCCATGAAACCTCAGCTGAGAACCAGGTGGGTGCACTTTGCTTCTCGCTCTCTCTGCTGCAGAAGAGAGACTTTGCTGCTGCCTCTTGCATTCAGCCTTTCATAGGACTTAAAATTAACTCGCTGCTGGCACTGGAGCAATTGGGGCAAACACAGCAGGAAGGTGGCAGGCTGGGGGAAAGGGGCTTCTCTAGCAGGTGCTGGCAAAGGGACTTACAGACAGGCCCAGGTGAGGTGCTAAATGCTTGTTGCAAAGACTTTCTAATCCTTTCCAATGTTTTGGGTTCCAAAGAAATGATGGTTGCACACATTTGAATGATCTGGCAGTGACTCTTGAAATGGCCACAGAGCCATTTTTGAGATGCTGCTCATGTTCATGGTGCTTCTGGTTTGATGGGGCAAGCAAATACTCTGGAGGAGGGTGGGATGTGGTTAAATCAATGGGATAAAACTTTTGGTTCCTTCGCCCTCCCTCCCACGATTTTACTTCTAGGTTAAAGAGACCTTCCTACCACAGGTCAGTACCTTAAATCCCCGTCTGTTGTACAACTTTGAGTTGATTCTAAAATGCTGCCAGATGAAGGAAGCCAAGTCAGTCGCAGTTACGATTATTAAGAGAAATAAGGTTTAAGCTGTTCTCTTCTTAAAGAGAAAAACTGCTACTTTAATGCATTTTCTGGCCTTCCCGACCTCTGAAGTCGAGCCTGACTTTTGGAAGTACCTTGCAGCTCTTAAGACTTTAAACTCTTTGTCATTTCCAGTGCATTACTGCTATTAGATGGACTTATTTTTCTAGCACGAGCATCACGATTGGGCAAACTGGAAGCCTTCCAGAAACAGCATTTTCTATTATTGCTTTAAACCAGCTATTTAAAACAGCTAAGGGAAGGAGTATCAGAGAATTCCCTGATCACAGGACAACCACGACACTACAGCTGTCAGTTTAGCCAGTTTAAGACACTTATATGCCCACTCAAGCGACAGCAGTAAAGAAACACAGAAGAGTTTGAGAAAGGTTTTGGAGCTGCTCGTTCAGGTAACCTCGAATCTCCAAAGAAGAGGGCTACAGAGATTCAAACCCACTACTTGCAAGAGTATTTTGAACGTGTTAGCCCAAATCCTGACCCCTGCCTGGCTTGCAGTAGGTGTCCCTGGGCTCTCTAGCGAGGCACAGCACAAGGACCCCCCGGTGATGTTCAAAGCGTCGCTGGAGATGCTGCAGAGGAGAGGAAAAACCACCCCCCTGCAACGGTGGTGGCTACAGTGGCTTTTTGCTGTTGTTTTGTGAAGTTGTGGGTGAAGGTTTTGCTTGGTTGGTTTTGGTTTTTTAAAGCAACCCCTTTCATGTAGATAATCCTCAACACAAGGGCTCGATCAAGATTTGCTCACTGACTTTTCTGGTCAGAAGCATAATTCTTATGCCCTCCCATGTATGTGCACATACTCATCCCTCACTGCCGCGCTCTTCTGGTAACAGCTTACTCCATTTAGGGAAATCTTTTATGGTTTTTCCCAATTTACAAGCTGCATCTCCATCAAAAGGAGTTGGCCAGCACATTTCTGCTCTCAAGCGTGGGAAGGACCCGGTGCTCTGTTGCCTGGCGCTTTGCACAGTCATTTACATCTGTGCACAACAGCCATAACACCACCACCCTCCAACATGAACCTTCACAGACAGCAGGATAAAATAAACTTCAGAGGAAACTAGGCATAATATTTCACATAGAAAATGCTTTTCAAAATTCCACCTGCTTCCTAAGAGGGTAGAGCCTTTAGTTCTTCGTACCGATAACTGAACTGCAAAGATTTTGTCTTTGGGACTGTAAACTTACTTCTGTGCAAATTTAACCAGTGCTAAGACACCAGAGAATCTGGTTTTGCTTGGGTCTAACAGCTATTCCTGTAACATCAAGGAGTTGCTTTTCAGAGGCTTGACTTCAAACAGCAGTAAGCAGAGAGGATACTGGCGTTCTCGGTATCGGTGGTGGAAAAATAGCCTACGTGAACTCTTTGCTAGAAATTTCATCTGAATGCGTGTGCAGTCTGGTTTCACAAAACCTAAGCAGCCTGACTAACATAGAGAAGATTGTAACAAGGAAAATGAATCATCACTGCTGCCCTCCATCCTGCTAGATGTTGCAACACAGACCCAACCTACCTCCTAAAGGAACCAGCAAGACAAGACCTCAGCACCAGCCAGAGCTTTAGGGAAGGAGTGTTGCAGGGAGGAACCACCAGCCAGGGACCAGGGCTGCACGTGGGGACGGGCAGCAGTGATGCTTCTGCCAGACCCATCCAGACTAACCTGAAATCCCTAACTTCTCATCTCGCTGCAAGTACCTGCACTCAGTAACCAGTGGAACTGCCTCAGGAGAGTTTTTCAGTGCATAAAAGTTTAATTTCCCCCATATCCCATTTATCCTGCGATTGTGAAGGCTTAGTTGAACTCTAAGCACTGAAGAGACTTTGACCAAATTTAGCCGCAGGATTACAGATGAAGGGAGAAAGCGAATCAAATGCAAGCTGACAAAACATTGGGGGCATATTGTATAGTTCATGATTCCACACATCAGTTTGAATTTTTTTCCCCCCAGGGTCAGCTGAACGAAGATAAACTGAAGTGTAAACTAAGGGCGCTTGAAAATCAGCTGCAGGCTTGCACCCAGGTAATGTCCGAGTCACTGAGAAACAAATATCGGTGAAGAAAGGCATGAAAACAAAATACTGAACCATGTAATTAGGGTGGGTATCAGTTTCTGGAGCAATCTGATCAGATACAGATCTGAAAACGATTTTTCCTCTTTGCTTCACAGCAAATTAGCAGTAGGATTTACACACTATATTTGCTAATATTCAGGCTTAGCAAGATGAGGAGTATGGCAGATAAACCCTTCAAGCACTTTAATTCTTCCTTTAAAGAGTTACTCAAAGGAGTGCGTGAAGAAGATCCTGATAGAGATGGAGGACCAGAAGCAGACCTACGAGCAGAAGGCAAAAGAGTCTCTTCAGAAGATGCTGGAGGACAAACTCCAAACAGAGCAGCAGCTGCAAAACTCTCAGGTAAGCAACATGTTTTACACCTGGCTTTGCTTTGACCTCGTCCAACTCAGACAAAGAGCTCCTCCATTTCAGGGAGAGGTGATGACTTGCTTACCATGAGCAACAAAGAGGCGAAAATACCATTTTTTAGCTACTGAACAAAGTCCAAAGCAACTGGGCAACCTGGGCTCACTTTGTGAGCCACATGTCAGGTTATTAAAACCATCACACAGCTGGAAATGTACTGTTGTCTGGCACTTCTTGGTGTAATCCCTCCTCCATCACCCCTTCATCCCATTCCCTGCTCTGCACACACACAGGGAGCACCAAGCCACACACACAGACATTCCAGGCATGAGCTCTCCAGAGATGCTTTTTTTGGAGTTGCTCTTTTATATGAAAAACAGACTTTCCCCAGGATGCAGCAATTTGTTTGACCCACAGGATAACTGGTATTTTCAGAAAAAACAAGTCAATCTTATCTCAAACACTAAAATCCCACCAGCAGCACAGGAACTTGGGTTCCACAGCAAACTCTGCCCATCAGATGGCATCAGCCCCACGCAGGTTGTTGTAAGCCTGGTGCAGGAGACAGTGGGGCTGCCCCAGCCCCACACACAGCCCAGGTGATGCCAGTGCCCATGGATGTTACTCAGGGCAGCCTGGCACAGCCCCAGTGGTCCGTGGGTCCCAGCCCACCCCTGGGTCCTTGTTCTCTTCCCTAGAGAAGCCTGGCAGCGACGAGAGAGGACCTTGCCTTCTGGAAAGAGCACTACACCACGCTCAAAGCTGAAACGACCAAGATGACCACAGCACACACCGAGTTAGAGAACAACTTCCACGTTTTGCAAAGCGAACTGCAGGTACGTTGGTTCCTCGCAGGAACAGCATCCATGGGAGCTCGTGTTTTCCAATTTGCAAGCAGGGATGCCCCAGGCTGAGACGACTGTATAAAGAAAAAAAGCCCCTTTGATGAAGCACGTGGCCACACGTGCAACCTGGTCCTCAGCTTGGGGCTGCCTTCTGGTGCCGGAAAGTCAGCGATGCTGCGTGCCCGCGGTGCGGTGCCAGGGCCGGGCTGATGCCAGGGGTCGTCTCTCCCGCAGGAAGCGGAGGCGCAGAACGTGCGCCGGGCCCGGCGCAGGCGGCAGGGCGAGCACGCTGCGCTGCACCGGCGAGCCAGCGCCCTGCGGGACGACAACGACCTGAAGGCTGAGCACATCAGCGCCATGGAAGGTATTGTTGGGGCAGGGGGGGGTCTGTCCTTCAAAGGAGTGAAGGATAGAAGGAAAACCTGGTCCCTAAAGCCAAGTATGGGCACACGCAAAAGGCTCCCTCTCTCTGAACGCGCTGCACACCTCAGCTTGCCGAGAGAGCCCTTTCCAAAGGGCTCCTGAAGTCATTCCCAACTCCATTAAAGGACTTAGGAAAGTCAAGTGACTTTTCAAGAAGAAAGAACGGAACAAGAGACCTGAAAAAAATCCAAAGAGGAGCCCTCAGTTTGATGAGGACTTTTGCATCCTCGTCAGACCCGTTGAACGCAGGGATGCAAACCCGCTGGGGTGGCGAGGCAGCACCCGTTACTGTCTGAGGTGCTGCGTGGTGGTGGTGGGTGGTAACCAGTGTATAAATACACACTGACAGTGTCTTAAAGTACCAATTCAGAGAGAGGCAAGAAGACTCACACATGCTTCACGTGGCTATTTTAAAACACAATTAAGGAAGAGCAAACGGGTGGCAGTTCTATTTTCATAACAGGTCTCACACAAACAGTTTTAAAACAAGCCATAAGTTGATAGAACGTAAGGCGCACTAGAAAAAGCTGCCAAAACTGAAAGGGCAATTAACAGCTAAAAATCACATCCCTTCAGAGAAGAAAGTTCAGTGTAGCCAACAACATACACTCCACTTTATAGGCATAGAGAAAGGGAAAGTCGCCATCCTTGCACAAAGATGCACAGAGATTTACATCGACCTTGATTTTCTTCCATCGTTATTTCAGATAAATTGCAAAAAGAACAAGATCAGAAGGTAACGCTGGAGGCCACGATCAGCCATTTGCACAGTGAGTAACACAAAGACACACCAAGTACCAGAGCCGCGTTAGCGCCGTGGACGGTAACAGCAGCTTTTTACATTTGCAGAGTTGATGGAGAACCAGAGCAGCCAACGGAAGCCCCAGGAGGTGATGGTGCCAAGGAAAGGTCAGCAAACTTTGTAACTCCCACCTAGCCCTCCTCTCACGGGACACAGGGACATTAGACCTGACTCTAGGAGAAGTCTACATTGGGTTAGAATAAAGGATTATTTTAAAGCTGCACGAAGTGAGCTATTCTATTTTGCTAGGTAACATTAAATCCAAGTGTATTTATGATGGCAAACACTTTAAAAAAAATAAATGGGTTTCATTGCAAATTCTACTTCAGTGGCTATACCTTTTTTTTCCCCAAACAAAATACATTCCAGTTTATAACTGCAATTACAGCTGTACTTGAACAAAAGTAATAAAAGGCATTTTAACTCTCCCTGCCCTCCATTTCTGACAACTACTTAGAAATATTCTTCTAAAGATTAGCAACTTGTAGCTACAGCAGAGGCAGGCCTGTGATAACTAGCTCAGCTCCTGCATCCTCCGCTGTGTGCTTAGCACGCAAATATTATCTTTAAACTGTGCTGAGTAAACAAGATCTAAAGCAAACCAAAAGCCTGGACCTGTTTCTCATCAGAAGCCTGTTTTCTAGACCAGGTTTTCACCCCACCTCTTACTCCTGCCAAGGAAAAACAAAACGCTCTGCTAGAGCACCCCGAGGAGGAGGGAGAAGAAAGTCTGAAGGAGGAGATACAGAAAAGGACATCCCAGCTTACAGCAAAGGAGAACGAGGTGAGGAAGTCACTGAATCGTGCTGGTCTAAGTGCTCCAGCAGCACCACAACACACCAAAGCTCCTGGAAGGAACCTAAACTTAATACCTCCTGTAAGGACTATCACTGCTGAATTTTTGTCCCGATACCAGCCTCACCTAAAGCCCTGATGCAGCACCTGTGTGCAAGAGCAGGGCACCAGCAGCAGAGCCCTCTGCACACAAACCCATTCGTGCCCTCACAAATGGGACAGTCTCCAAGGTCCCACAGAGCAAAGCCAAAGCCTCACTTTAAGAGCTGAAAACCTGAGTGCAAAGGAAGGAGAGGAGGAAAAGAAAAGGCTTGCAAATAACAGGAAGGGTCTGCTAACAACAGCAACACCCTTACAACCAGACTGCAAAAAAATTCAAAGTGTTCCAGCCTTTCACACCCTCTTTCCCATCAAAACGCGCTCTCTGCCAACCACAGTCCCACAGTTCTTGCTCGGATAGCAAAGATTTATAAAAAAAGGTTTTATAACTTACTGTAGCAGAGCTTAGAGCCACACAGGAGAAGTTCTTGTCCTACTAACTCATGCTGCCGAGTGCACCACCACCATCAGGCATCACCCAGCATCACCTGGGGAGGGGTTTTGTAAAGCACAATCACAGCAAAAAGGAACAGCTGGGGGGACCCTGATGCCCCCACCGTGGTGGCTCTTGCAGCCTCTTGGCACAGCTGCTGCTAATGCATCGCTCCCTGGGAAGGCAGGTGGGTCTCACGGCGAGTGGCTGATCAGGAAAAAAGTTGCTCCCTGGGTTTTGGGGTTGTGCAGCACAACCAAGGCACCTGTCCCATCTGTCCCATGTCATAAAAACCTGCCACGAGTTTGCACTCCGTGTCTTCTTCCTGACCTGCACACTTCTTTGGGCATAAAAATAACTATTGCTTCTTTCTCCCGTGCGATGTGAAAGATGGCAGCAAAGCCAAGCAGGTCACAGGATGGCACCAGACTGGGCATTGCCTCTGTCACCACATTCCCAGTAACACTGAGATCTGCTCTGTCCCCTGTAGGTACATATGGACACACAGGTAGCAGAAGTGAAAATCCCCCGTCCCTGCAGTGCCCGTGCACGGGTGAAGCGCTGCAGCCGCTGCGGGAGCCCTGCCCCTCTCGGTGGGTACAGAAGCAAGGGGGTCCCTGCTGCTAACAGCCCCTTGCTCTGCTTGCAGTGCACGGAGCTGCGCTCGGAGCTGGAGGCCCTGAGCGAGGAGTACCGCTCCTGCCTGACCAGGCTGCGCCAGTGCCGGGACGAGCTCAACCGCTTCCAGAGCGAGCAGGCCAAGGTGGGAGGCATTCCTCACCCCGACTCCCAGTGCTTTCGGACCGGGGCTGCAGATCGGTCTGGGAAAAATTCCCCCATTTATTTGTGCAGTGTGGAAAGATAAAGTAAATGTTTGTTAGGGATGAGACGAGAAGTTTCTTCTCCCCACCGATTTCCCAGTAACACTCGCTTCTCCGTGCAGAGACGGTGCAGTCACTGGATCCCCCTCCTGGTGGCAGTGACAGCAATGGCCATAGCCATCTTCCTCGCAAGTTACAGACCATGAAGGGCCTTCTGGATGACTGACTTCACTGCAGGAACTGACTTCTGCTTCACCAGCAGCAACACGCTCTCGCTGCAGTGCACCTTCTGCTGTTTTGTACTTGCCTGGTTCATACCTGAGCTGGTCTCACTCCAGACAAACTCTTGCAGCTCCAATAAATGCTGGGAGATCACCCCTTCCCTTGGCTGCTCTGGTTACTCTGCTCCAGCTGAAGGTTGTGCTGCCCGGTGCCCCCAGCACTGAGGGACGAAGCCGCCCCAGCCACCGCCGCTGGGGCTCACTCCGGGCAGGAGGGATGGGGCAGCAGGGACTCAGCATCCCTGGTTTGCATGCCCGGCAGCTGAGAGGAGTACAAAATTCTCTTCCTTTATTTATTGCCTTCCTAAATGGGAAGTATTCAACCCTGGACCATCTCTACTGATACCTGACAAAGAAACCCAGCTCAGGGAGGCTTTTTAGCACAGTCCCCTCGTACTCCCGCCATGCACCGCCTGTCCTGAGCGATTTTCCCACCTCCTGCCCACCAGGCCCAGTCCAGCTCACTGCTCTGTGAGTCAGTCTGATGGCCAAGCGTCCTCACAGCCACATCCGCTTCCCCCCCACTGCCAGCACCACTGTAATTCCACAGAGACAGAGGTTTTAAGCCCCTTTTGGAGCTGCACCGTGCAGGTTTTACAGTAGCACTTGCCTCTTGTTCAAGCGTACGGGGTGGTGGGTGACACCATGTCGCACAAGTAGCAAACATGACATGGAGCCTACAATAAACTTCACATATTCAAAATGCTGCCATGTTCGAATTTTTATTAATCCTCAGCTGTTTGCAGCAAATAAATATACCCTGACTTTCCAGGGCACACTCCGCAGTCAGCAGAGCAGCTGTGAGTGTGCACATCCACACGCTGGTCTTTTGGGAAATACAACCATTTGCAACTGGCCCACGAGGTCTGAGTCCCGGGATTGTCACAATTCAGCCTTTGGCACACAGAGACCAGTTGAGAGCCTCAGTCGGCCGCGCGCACGGGAAGCGGGTCTCTTGCCGTGGTCCACGACGCAAGTGAGAAACAGGCCAAAAAGTCCCAAGTTTGTGTTTTACAACGCAACTGCTGGGAGAGACACCACCTCGCTGGACACGCTCAGATCCACGAAGTCCCTCTGCGCGCCGAAGGCCGCCCACAGCTCGTCGCACCAGGCGTCCAGCACCGCCTTCAGCTCCGCGCAGAGGCTCTCC